TAAGGAATCTTATCAGAAAACTCAACTCAAAACTTTGTTACAGAATAGATTCAGATTTTAACATGAACTTTTGTTTTTTACATGTTCTGCAAGTAAAGATTTTTGGATTAACATCTATGTCCATCCATTAACATCCATACTGTCCCCGGGCAGTTTTTCCACATTAGATTCTTTTATCAATCTTCTATCAAATCTGTTTTGGTTAATCTAATAATAATTATTGAAAGTGCAAATGGTCCAAACCCTCATATACTTTGTTTATGATGGACTTTGTAAATTATTTTGAAAAAGGATAGGAGAAAGATAACATGTCGAATCATTAAGGCAATGTCCTAGAATTCATTATTTTAGATAAGAGCCAGTGGCTGCAATATGTTGAATTGTTGGTAATTAAATAAAATAAAAGAGCATTTAATTACATATAAAGAATTGCAGTCACCAGTTAAAGTCGTGAGAAAGTTTGACATGCATGATTTTGTCTACATTCATTAGCGATAGCATTAGCTTCATGATGAGCTTGACTCAGGCCTGTTTTGACAAAGAGCAGCACATAGCTGGACAGTATTACACATGTTGGTCACGAAACCAGCTGAAGACCCAAACATTTTTCAGTCAGCAGCACATGTGTATATGTTCCAGCCAAACTGAATGTTGTAGTAACATACAATGGCCACAAGGTCGCATCAGTTACAATAACTCATCTTATGGGAACTGTGAGAGTTTCAGAATTTTCCACATGGTCCTGCAAATGTTTCACAATAAAAGGCTTTTAGCAAACGATCTGATTCTGTCTACTGAAGGGCTTTTAATTTCAGACAGGAAGTGTTGTCTTCGAAAGAGTAGTAAATATATAAATACATTTAGTTTGAATGACTCATTCTGACACAGAAAATTCTCTTTTTGTCAACTGGAACTTTTTATTTACATAAAGTGCATCCAAACCATGAATGCCAAAACAACTGTCATAGTGCCAAATCACAATTTATTCATGTTGTGTATTCTGTGTCCTGTTCTGCACTACCTTCTGCCTCCAATGTCTCTCTGCCTCAGATTTTTATCCTCATTGGCTGACAGAGACAAACATCTGTACTTGACAATGTGAAATCCGGCAGAAACATCAGGTTTGAAGGAGCTTGTTTGCCCAGTAAACATTCTTATTTAAAGTACAAACCAGTGCTTAGTTTATTAGGTAGTGAGCTACTCATTTACTGTCTCAGTCAGTTACATTCTGATGTGATGTGTACAGTTTTAACTTTTTGATGTCATTGTTTCACTGGTTGTGTGTGTTTTGATGTGAGATCATTATCAGCTGTAGGTCACTGGCTTGTTTGTGTCCCAACAATTCAATTCACATAAATAAGGACTTATTAACTACTTAACACCCGATCAAAGTGCCTGAGAACTGAAGAGGTACACGAGGACTTTGTTAGATGTAAGTAACATCTCTCCATCCAATTACAACACCACCACTAACTACAGCCATTAAGATGACACCACTCAGAAACGGTGTCAACAAAACTGAGCATAAGAAGCTCTATAAAGGTACCATTAATGACAGGGCTGTTCAATAGAATCAGGAATACACAGTATATATGCACTTTGGCTGCTGTCATTTTAAGAAATCAATAAATAAATGGCTGCTGTCATTTTAAGAAATCAATAAATAAATCAAGCAATAATACAAAGATCTACAATTTAGCTGGTATGAACAGTGCAAGTTGTCATCAGTTTGAAAACATAGTTGAGGTCCAGTCGCTTTGCAATGCCCTGCTCAGGCGTCCGAGGAAATTCTGATCTGAGGCCTGCTTATCCTCATCTGTGGAGGGAGAGAAACAAAGAAAGAATTATTGACATGATCAAACCTTCAGTGTGCTCACACACCACTGAACACTGATCTTCTGTGTTTCTGCAGAGATGCACTGACCGGCAGGTTGGATGACAAGTCTCTGTGGGGTATGGCCTGACTGCCATGAGAAAATTGAGTATTATTTCCTGTTTGCGATGGGGAATAAATGCTCGCTGATGGGCTGGACTGTGTGTAAGCTGCAGTCGGCTGGTAGACAGGTACAGGTAGCCTGCCTGATTCTTCATGTGTGAATGAAGGGTTTCTGTACGCTCCTGAAAATAGTACAACAGTTAGTGGTTATGAGAGAATCACACACACATCCACCAGAATAAATTTCATGTTTGTAAAGTGATGAAAGGATGACCAACACACAGATCTACACATAATTGTGACCAAACTTTCACTTTCTTCTTTATTTATGTCATTCACTTGACACAGCTAACTTCAAGCGCACACTACACAGATATAGTGGAACTAGAGGTCTATCATTTTTCTGTTCTATTTTTCCGAAGTTGATATCAGTGGACTGAATGTTTTGACATTTGTTTGCTGGTTTTTGGTTTTGTCATCTGGTTTTTGTCAGCATGTCGGAACATGGGTGTTTAATAGGGACACAGCACCTTCCCCCCTCCAACACACACAAAATATTCCAGCCATTCACCACCCACTGTAGTAATTAAGTGTGTGTCTGAAGTCCATAATAAATTTACCAGTATTATGTATGTCAGTTGAGCTGTTGGATCTGGACCATTTAAAGTCCTCCTTCATCCACTGGTCCACCAGCTTCTCTTTATTGTCTCCTGTCCTGCAAAACAAAGAGGAAACTTTTCATCATTGCAGCTCTCATTTCAAAAATGCATATAAAATATGTTCCTCTTCACTATGTCCTGTGTTCATTTATTTCTTCATGTCATGTAACATATAGAAAAGAAATGTTTGAAGCTTTCTCGAAAACCACTCATCCAAAAACTCATCACAGTTGACACTGCCCTTCCTCTGGTCCTCAACAATACATCTGCCAAGTTTGAAGAGGATCAAATGAGTGGTTGTCGAGAAAATGGAAGGACAGACAGACGGACGGACAGTCAGAGATTCTTCCATTTATAGTTAGATATTTGGACTATTATTGTACAAAGCTGATATTGTAAACTGCTTTTCTCACTGTATCACCTGAAATAGACTTTTTAGTGATACGTTATAATCACTTAATAAGAGGAGTTGATTTTTTACATATAGTGCAAATAAAGCCTGACTGACTTGTTTATGTCCCTAATTCCTCAGAAAGAAAAATCATAGTTTTGCATTATTCTCTTATTATTTAAACATAATCTGAAATCTAAAGAACCATGCACACTTCACAGATGGATCTGAGGTTCTAATGGCTGGAAAAAAGCTTACTGTGTTTGGTTGTGTTCGCTCATCAGCACGCATGCAGTCAAGGCTACCACAGTCACCAGCAGACAAACAAGGGTCACACTTAACCCTGCGTAGAAAGGAATCTTCTGTATAGGGAATGTACAGTCGTGGCCCAGGTACCAGGTGGAATTTGTAGTTTGACACCTGGAACAGAAGAGAAAGACATAAGTTAAACAACGGTGAACTGCTGCATTGAACAAGTCCAATAAGGCAACACAAAGAAAGTTTGATCAAAAACAAAATATTAAAAATAACATGACCATGAAAATCTAAATATTTTCTGTCCAGTTTACTTTATGCTGTTTTAAAACTGAACATGGTTTCATGAATACATCAGTCATTTAAGATGAATTCATTTTTAATTTATTTTGCAGATTTTATGCCATTATGGTCATTTCATGATCTGCCTCCTTCAAGATTGTATGTATCAGATGTGATCTAAACATAAAGGCAGAAACACACTGAAAAGGGAAAATCTGTGTAATGTCTGTCAAAATTTGTCTTCTTTTGTTACATCCAATAGAGGGCAGCAAAGTCTAAAATGAAAAATATAACTCCTACAATGCGTATCAGCATTCTGGGACTAATGGGTGGAGAGCTGAATATTGAAAAGGACTCATGTCACTATCTTCTAAATCACCCATGGAAACATCTAATTTAGGAAAAGATTGTGGTTTGGATTTAAATAAATACTTCCTTAAGATTAGACGACCTTTGTTGCCATGGTTCCAATAATAACAACATGGTTAAGGTTGTGGAACAGTCATAGGTAAAAGAAACAACACAAACTACTGGTTTCAGTCAGGCATCGAACACCTGTCTGTGTGAAAATCCGGTGTTTTCATCCAGCCACCCAACCTCCTCCTAAGTTGGACTTTTTCCACTCTTTATACTACGTTTATCTGTTGTAGCTGATCCTGTTGATGATATCGACGGACAGGATCTGAAGGCACAGCTGAGGTGGGGAGCGTCTCCAGTTTGGGAACCTCAGAATTGCATCTCTGCTTTTCACAGCTGATGTGCTTTTCTGCATCATCAGAACATGACCTCCAGAGCGTGAAGCGGCGAGGTCAACACCTCCAAGTCTGCTCCCTCCAGGTTGGGGGTAAGTTGTTGTTGTTGCTGGAGCCACCATCACAAGCTGTGCCTCTTAGTGGATGTCTTATAAGTTTTTACTTTGTGCTAAATCTGAGGTACCAATTCTGTTTGCACAGGAAGTGTTGAGGGCAGTGAGTAAGTACAGGAGCCAGTATCACCAGTGTGCCAGGTCAGTCGAGCACACCGACTTGCAGAAATGCTGAATGATCTCAGCAGAGAATTTGCAGAGCTGCAGTAAGCCCCAACGTAAATCCTACCTGCACTGCTTAAAGTAATCTATATAGTATTCAAGTATTCCCATGTTCGAGGCTCTAACGCTTCCATCTCAATCATCATCAGTGACAGTTAGCTTGATAGTAGGCAAAACCAAAACAGACAGAGCCTTTTTTCAACATGTGAAATCAAGGCTCTGGGTTCCTAGAAGCAGTACACAAAAGAGTTCATCAGTTTTTAAAACCATCAAAGTGACAACACAGTTAGCTTACTCGCAAAGAGGTCCAGTGTCCTTGTGCACTATGCAGAGTCCCTTATTGTAGCATCTTTTAGGACGTGAATGTAGACTGTTGCATACAGTCACACATGTGAGAACTCCATCAACAGACACAGTTTGGTAGTAGTAAGCAACAACTGGATCTCTCACCGACCTTTTACATACAGCTGGAGAGAAAAATAATTCCAAGGTTAATACGAACTTTACCACATCTCTTATCTGATGCTTTAAGTACTCAATTCCAGCAACATGATTCACTATTTGGAGAAGCTGGCTATTTATATTAGCAGGCTGGTATGTGTGTGTACCTGAAGTGGTCATCGAGTGTATATTTCAATGAACAACACACACAAGAAGTACCAAAGCGAATTGGAGCTTGTGAGAAACTGTTTAGGTTTTGTAAAACTTGTTGCATTGCACAGTAGCACCACAAAATTCATTTTAGCTTTATGTTTGAATCTCCACACAGATCATACTTGTTGTTAAAGTAAAACACACTTAAAACTCAAACTGTACAAGAGCTGGTATCAGTATTAACTGAGTCAAGTTGAGTATACGGTTTGTACGGCTTTGCGGCTACAGTAAGCCCTGAGGGGTGCACTACTTAAAGCAAGTTAAACTTTGTCACACAGAACTGAGTGAGTGTGTAACACTGCTCAAGGCTGCGATGCTCATGTTCAGTGGCTGACAGTAAGTTTGGTAACATAAAAACAGTCTTGGCTCTCATCAGCCCTCTCTCCAGCAGTAGCTCATAGCAGTTATCAGTAAGAAAGCTCTGATAAAGCCACTGTACACTCCCTGCACAGCTCAGCAAAGAGTTTTATAGGGCTGAAATACATGGCTATCAGCTTTCTGTACAGGTCTTACAACACCTAACTGATCAAAAATCAATTCAATCAATTAATTGAACTGAACACATGAAGGAATGTAATGAATTACTCAGGCATGAAAATGGGAAGATGTCACAAAACAAACTGGGGCATCAACATCAACTTTAAACTACAGTGAAGTCATACTTACATCCCACATCCACCTTAGTTTTATCCACTATGGGTGTAGTTGTCACATTGTAAGGACAATCTGAAAATTCAGACAAGACAAAATGAGTTTTCAATGTGTGTGACTACCACAATATGTTATATGTTGTCAACATAAAAATGTCAGTTTTGGAGGAAAAGGAAAAAGGTTCAAGGCAGAGTTGTAAAGGAAATTGTAACAAACTTAATGTTTGTTTCTGATCAAACTCTTGTTATTTGAATGAACTTGGTTCTGATCTCATGGCTCGTTAGCAGGGCATTCTATATGTGGTTATGTATGAACTTATTTTCTGTCTTACCTACTGTGCAACCAACAAGCTCATTAACAGCATCCTTCACTGCTACAAAGTCATCATCATACAGTTGATCAGAGCTGGCGTTGTTTGGAATCCCCAAGACCACATCATGGAAGACATTAACACTGAGGCAGAGAGAATTTCAATACAGGATTATTCATTATTTTGCAATTCAAAATATGTTACTGAGATTCTCATAATATATTTCCTCTCATTTCCTTCATTGTTGTTGTGACTAAATACACCTGTTTCATCAGCCTAAATACATAAGTGAGGAGCTATAGTTCAGTTTATGCAAATCAGTCTGGACACTGCTTGAAGACTTTAGTCATTAATCAGACATAAAAATATAATTCCATTTATTTTCCACCTTTTCCTCAATCTTTTCTTCTCATCTCATTAGTTTCAGCTAAATTCCCATTTGCATTTTAAAAAAGTATACACATTTAGGTATAGAACAAAGGTTGCAGTAAATTAGAACAAGTGCAAGTGAAGTACAGAAACACACCAAGACATACACAACAAAACAAATTTTCAACATAAACAACAACAACAACATAACTTTCTGGCAGACACATTAAAAAACGGATGAACATGCTGGTAATTAATAAAAGGACAGAGTCTCATGGGACCACTATGAGGCGAGGTGAGATGATGATGTAGTGAGAAATGCAGATTGACTCATGTTGCTAGCTCAACCCAACCTGCCTTGTGTCAACAGTCCAGGCTGGTGGTGGTGTAATGGTGTGAAGAAAGGTAGACTGACGCTCCTGCTGATTTAAATATCTCTACTGATTAACTGAAATATATTTATGTACATTTTTTTTATTTCCTTTTTTTTTTGTATTTATGTTCATTGCTGCACATTTGCTCTAAGTACTACTTAGTTCACTCTTGTTAATAAAATGCAACATGACAGCGGACTGATGCTGTGCCAGAAACAGATGTGGTTCTGAGACACGCTCATGGTGCCCTTTCACTCATGATAGCAGCCCTACAGCTTGCCTTTGTACAACCTCTGCTGCACAGGGACGCCAGAGCAAGTGGAAAGAGTAAAAGTGGAGGACTGGTTCTGCTATTGAACAATAGCGGTCACATCACAGTGAAGGAGAAGATCTGCTGTCGGGATATTGAACTGTCGGCAGTTGGTCTTAGACCGTACTATGTACCCAGGGAGTTCTGACACATCGTCACCATTGTTGTTTACATTCAACCGCGAGCAGAGCCTGCAGTCGCGTGTGACGTCGTCCACGAGACTGTTGCGGGAGTATAGACCCAGCACCCTGATGCATTCATTGCAATAGCGGGGGATTTTAACCATGTCACTCTCACTTCTCACCTGACTGGCTTCACTCAGTATGTTGACACAAGGGAAAATAAGACAATGGATCTGTTGTATGCAAATGTCAAGGAGGCCTACACTGCTTCAGCTCTACCACCACTTGGCAGATCAGATCATAAGCTGGTTTTTCTTCAGCCTTCCTACAAACCCTGTATACCGAGGCAGGCTGCAACCACCCACTCATTCAGGAACTGGACCCCGGAGGCCAGTGAGTCTCTAAAAGACTGTTTCGAGTGCACAGATTGGAATGTCCTGTTGGAGTCACAGATAAATGATAAAAGCAAGGACCCTGACCTTGACAGAATGGTTGAATGTACCACAGACTATATTAACTCTGTGCACTTGGCATCAACATACCATGCAAATGGACAAAACAAATTTCAAGGTCAGGTAATGACTTGAGCCCTGCTCATGCTCATCCATGAAAAAAAGGCCTGTTGTTTCCATCTGAGGCTGCCAACATGCAAAGTTTCCGAGTGCATAACATAGGCTTATACTGTATGTCAAATGAGTTGATTTGGACATTATCATTTTAAGATCCTTAAAGGTGTCTACGCTCTATTTACCTGTCTGCTCTTGGATTGACACTGTAGGTAGCCATGGCTTCATCTGATGATCTCATCTGAAATAAAGAAAGTAAAATTAATGGCTGGAGTTAATATCTGATCTCTGATTCAATATCCTGCAGTGAAGGTGTTTAAATTTCTTTACCTCTTCCACAGTGTTATCTGACAATCTGCCCAATGGGCCTCCACGGCTAAGAAGAACAAACAATAGAGGAAATTAAAAAACCATTATACAATTTTAAGCACCATTGTATTAACATGAAACATTTTGTACAAGCAGGTATATACCTATCTAGTCTATTGGGATGGCCACTTATAATACATACAGTTGTACATTACCTGACTCTAGTCACTAGCACTTCTTTAAAGTGTGCTATCTTCTTTTCCCGGTAATATGTCTCCATCTGAAATAGTAACATAACACAAAGTGTTCTTTTTTAGTGCAAGTAATGGCATAGAGTTAACTGTAAAATGGAATTACTGATTTGGTGTGTCCAATATAGTTGTTATAGCTGTTGTTATAGCTGTAATCCATCATGTCTGATTTAATTTACCTGATGGGTGAAGTTTCGAACAAACTTTTTGTATTCAGATGATGATACGTCTTCATAGTTTTCATTAAATTCCTGATTGATCACCAAATTAACCTTGACCGACCTGTCCAATGTATCTGCAATGAGAGTGAAATATATTGAACGTCATAAATGAACAGTTAAGAACAATAACTGAATGCAAAAATTGTGCTCTGTAACTTTTAGTGAAACTGAAAAAGGACATAGCTTGCATACAATTAACATTACCTGGCACAAGAGTTTCAATGAACTGGCAAATTCTTCCACTGAATCCAATAAGACATGTACAGTCAATACCATTGAAAGTTCCACCATTTTGGCACTTCAACGGTTCCGCTTTCATGAATGGTCTTGTGGTTGTTTGAGCTGTTGGCGTAGCAGGTGGTGTTGTTGGTGATGTGGTTGGCTCGTCAGTTGGTGGTTTGGTTGATGGTGTGGTTGGTTTTGTAGTTGGTACACTAGTGGGTGGCCCAGTTGGTGTGATGCTTGATGTTGTGGTTGGGGTTACTGTTGAAGGTGAGGATGTCATAAACAATGTTTACACAACAAAAGGTGTCTAGAGTTGTCAAAACAGATATCTGCCATGGTTGGAATATGGCAAATTTATAGCATAGAATTTGCCAGAATTCGACAGTATGTGCAAAATTCATAAAACTCTATGAAAAGTTCTGCTCTTTCTACTCCCACTGTCACATTGGAGGCTGTAGTTATAATTGTTATACGTGGGCCTTTCCTTCTTCCAGTGCTAAACATTTTTATATCAGTTGGTCAGATACATGAGTTTTAAGATCATCAGTGATATTCCTGTACTCATGTACACACTTATGTTTTTTTATTCTTCTTTTTAGTTCTTTTAGTTTAGTTTTTCAGTTTATTGCATCCAATGTTTTTGCAGTTATGTTATGTTGCACTTATGTTATTAAATTAATTATGCACTGCATTATTTGTTCCCTCAACATTTGCAGTAGGTGCAATGATGGTTGATTAAATTCATTATTTTTTTATTGTAAATCTATTTTTCATGTAAGCACAATAGACCACAGAGTGCTTACTCTGCTAGCTAAATCAGCTGTTTACACTCACATGACTTGTCATAAGTTTGCCCTCTGCAACATCCAATCTGTCACCAATAAAGCCCCCCGGTCAATGACGACATCACAGATCACAAACAGGACTATTACATCACGGAAACCTGCCAGGATTTTCTACAGCTAAATCTAGCAGCCCCACAGGAATGCATTTACAGTGAGCCCTTCTTCTTCAGGCAGGGGGAGGTGGCCTATCGCTCATCTATAGCGAGAGAATAAACCTAACACCATTCTCCCTACCTGATGAGTATTCCTTTGTACTGCTGGCTGCTAACATCTGTGGACCTTCACCCACCACGATTGATGTTTTGTGCAGACCAACCAAGTCATCTGATATCTTTATCACCAAACCCTAAACAGTTTTAACCACCTTTAGTGCAATGTCTGGGTATGTGGAATTTTAATGTTTTGATAACACTGAAAATATGTTCTCTACAGATTTGTATGATCTTTGTTTAATCATATACATTTCTTTAAAATATGTCATCTATATGTCATCTTTACAATCCATACCAAAGGTCATATCCTTGACCTTGCATTCAGGCGTCACACCATATGAAATCACTTCCACTGAATAACACATGTCAGGCCATAAACTGTGTTGCTCAACACCAACCCACCACACAAGGGTGTGTCACATCATGTCACACTGCAACATCACACATCACTACAACCCAGAAGATGTCATCAGTTAAATTACCTCGAGCCCTGTTCATGTTACCAACCCTTCCACTCCCAGATTTAAAGGACTACTTCAATGATCGTTTATCTTCATAATTACTGCATGATGCTGTAAACCCTCTGTAACCACAGACTGTCTTATTTGCCCATTCTGCACCCTGGTACACACCTGAACTACTCCAAAATCAGTACAATACATGACCAGCTGGCCTCTACTAACATCATACAAACTGACTCACCATCAGCAAGCGCCAAGAAAACCCCATGGATGTCCCCATCCACTATTATACAGTATATGACTTCAGTCTTCCAATTGAAAATCACATAATTGGATATGTCCAGTACCTCCACATGTCACCAATCTCCATAACCCTAGTTAAATCATGCTGGCCTTCTATCATCTCCCCATTATTAAATCCTCTGTCATCTGGTAGAGTTTCCCCTTACCCCCTTCAGACCAATTTTTAAAAAACCTGATTAATACTCCGACCAAAACAACTACTGACCTATTTCCTATTTTCCTATTTGTCAACTGACCCCTGTGCATGTCTGTATCTGTATCTGTATGTATCAAGAGGATCCTTCTACTTAGTGATGAGAGAATGAGATTTAGTATCCAAGCTGAGCTGTTGGATGGAGAGTGTTTATAGTTTCCGATTCAATAAATGTAACAGTCGTCTATAATTCAAGCAAAAAACAAGGATAAACCTGGTAAAAGAATGCCAATAGTTCTCTTATTTGAAATGAACTAAACTTTAGTAAAAAACAACAAGGGTTCTAACAAGAATAACAAGAGAATCTAAAGATATTAGACACATGTTACACTGTAAGTGGCATCCT